TGATCCATTTATGATTCTCTTTTAGTTGTGTTAAATAAAATTGAAAATTATTTCAATTAATAGTTATTTTCTGAATTAAAGAAAGATTTTTTTTGTCACCACTATAAAACTATAAAATAAGATTTGATGAAACCATGTGAAATGGATTGTTTTCTAAAAGAAATTATTGAAAACGTTCTTTAAATATTCTTTTCTCAAATTTATGCTTCCTCATTTTCTATATTATATTTCTAATCAACATTTTTATTTGATTACCTCTAATCTTGTTGACAATTAAATATTGTTCAAAAAATAAAACGAACAAATGACTTCAATATGTCTCAAATAATACAAACAAACACTAATTACTGTCAGATCTCTCAATAGCTTTTAGAAGTAATAGAAATAGACAAATAGACACACAATCGAAGGCAGTCTATATAGCAGAAAGTGACTGAGAAAAGTTGCCTTATGTAATTTGGCATAGACGACATAGAGAGTGGAGGGAGGAACTATACAAACCTAGCTCCTCCTACATTGAGACCTATATTTTCTATTTAAATGTGAATCAGCATAGAAGAGTAATGAATGATTGAATATAACTATCCTAATTCTAAACTAATAATTAGAATAAAATTCGAATTTAGTCATATCTTTTTATAGAATATGTATCGATTAATAGTTCCTAAACATTTTCGATGAACAGTTTGTTCGTATATATAATAAATAAATCATTAAATCTTTAAGTTTAGCCGTGAGAAAGAAAAATATTCGAAAGAGTGAATAATGATTGATTTAATTTAATGATTTTGTTGTAGATTGACAATATAATCAATCATAATTTATTTTTATTCAAAAACAAAAAACAAAAATAAATTATCGAAGACGTTTATCTTTTAACAAAGCATCTCGGAGTGCAATCTAAAAAAGAAGAAAAGAAAAAAAAATAATAAGACAAATGTAATTGAATAGTAGATAATAATTAAATAAAACCTGTTTGTCTCGAAATGATCGTTTTTGTTTTTTTCTTAATTTGGGTTTGAGCATTTGAAAATTTTTATTTTTCAATTTTTCTTTATTTGTTGAACCTGCTCGACCTTTTTCTTTTTTCCATTTACCAAATTTTTCTCGACCTTCCCGACCCGACTTAAAAACAAATCAAATAATTCTTTTTTTTAGAAAAGATCAAAATAAAACTTACAATAACAGTTTCTAAACGAGATTCTTTGTCATGAGCACGTTTTTTATGTACTCGTTCAATATCTTTTAATGATATTAATCCCAAACTAAATATTTCAAAATAAAATAAAATAAAAAAAAAAATTTATAATGATTAACTAACTTTTGTTCTGAATTTTTTTTATTTTCATCATCTGAATTTGAATCGGTATCAATTGAAATTGTTTTACGTTTTCTATTATTTGTTATTGATTGTTCTAAACGATTTTTTCTTCGATCTTGTATTCGTTTTTTCATTTCAACAATTTTCAATTGTTCAAAATCACGTTGTGTTAAAATTCTTTGAGTACTTATTGTTATAGCTCGTTCACGACGTTCTTCTTCTGTCATTTCTTTTTCCATCTACAATTTTAAAACAAAAAACAAAATTAACATCTTTTTATTTTATGTCATCAGAATTTTTAACATTATTTCTATTTATATTATTTTTTCCAAGACACATTACTTTATTACTCTTTATAGTCAATCATTTTTCTATAATAACAGTTTAATTATTGTCATATAGCTCTTTTTCCACTGTTATTTTAGAAAAAAAACAACAAAACAAATATATATATATTCGTTTTTTTTCTTGGGTAAAAGTGCAAAAACTAATGATTATCGTCTCGTTCAATTATTACAGATAATTGCATATTGAATGAAAAATTCTCTCTACTAAAATACCATTGAAATGATTCTAAATAAAAATGCTCTTACTTTATCCGTATTTTGTTGATTATGATCTTGTTGTTGATCATCACTTTGTTCATTTTGATCATCATCATCATTATTATTATTATTATTATTATTATCATCTTCTTCGTCATCAGAATGTGAAACATCAATCCATTCTTCTTTTTCACTAAGTTGATCTTCTTGTTGATCTTGTTCATCATTTGATTGTTTATCTTGATCATTAAGATCTTGTTGAAGTATTTCTGCCCCGTCAAGATAAGATTTTGGATTTGTTTGTCCATATTCAAGTGGAATAAGATCTCTTTGAAATTCCGTCGGTTTACCTCGATCTTTTCTTTCTAAAAGTTGTGGATTTTTTTCACGAAATAATTGAATTAATGATCGAGCTGATGCTGAAACAGATTTGTCACGATATGATTTATATTTTGAAAGATCATGTAATAAATCTTCATCCATAGCTAAATAACATCGAGAACATATTTCTCGAATTGTATTTAAACTAAATAAAAACAAAAAAAAAATATTTAATTAATAAAAAAAAAAAATTAAAATGTTTATTTAAAAAAACAAACCCAACAGCCATAACTTCACCAGAATTTCTTTCAGTAATAAAATTATTTGCAATTGTTTTACAAATACTTTGTAAAATATCAGGTGGAACAAGTTCATGTGATGCTTGTGCAACAAATAAAAGAATTTTCGTAACTTGACGTTGATGTGGTTGAAGATATCTTTGTAAATATGGATAAAAATTTAATAAAAGTAATTGATGAAGACCAATTAAACGTGATAATAAATCTTGATGAAGTAATTTTACTTCAAATCGTTCATTTGATGTTTCCAATTGACGAAATAAACGTTCAGAAAAATCTATTCAAAAGATATTTATTAAATTTATTAGAAATTTTTTCTTCTTTTTTTTTTTTTTTACCTTGTGGATCGTAAAGAAGATGTAAAGCTGAATAATCAAATATTTCAACTTTTTTTTTCTTTTTTTGTTTCTGTACAAAAAAAAAAACAAAAAAACAACAAAATAATTTTTTTTTATAGTTCTGTATTAGTTAATAAAGATAACTAACTTCAAGTGTTCTTAATGCTCGTTCAGTTTTTTTCTTTCGTTTTGCCGATTTTTTTCCAACACGATGACCAAGTAAAATATCTTTTTTTGTTAATTTTTCATCCTAAAATTAATAAATTTATATTTATTAAAATTTTATATGAATTAATAAATTATTTTTGTTTACATCATCCGAATCGGAATCTTTTTCATTATCTTTATTTTGATTGTTACCTAAAAAAAAGTTCAATGCTGCTACTTGAACCTAAAACAAAAGAAAACATCAAA